GCTATGAAAGATGCATAGCTTTTACATCGGCACCAGACTCCGAATGAGGAAACCGACTACTGTAGAACATTTACAATCCCCGATCAGACCATTCGGAAACGAAATTCCTCCTCTTCTTCTTCCACCTCTTCCTCCTAAACTTTTTTTTTTTCATATTCCTCATATTCCTCCTGTTTCATTCTTCAATTGTGTACCTTGTCTAGTTTTTTTAAAAAAAGTTTTTGCAAATCAGCGGAATGTTGGAAAGGAATTGTGGAAAGGGAATTAGGACGGGGTCAACCTGTCTATCCATTAGAAAGATAATATTAATAAAGATGACAGAATAATAGAGTTGGAAGGGACCTTGGAGGTCTTCTAGTCCATCCCCTTGCTCAAGCAGGAGACTCTATAACCAATTCACATAAATGGTTGTCCAATCTCTTCTTAAAAGCCTCCAGTGTTGGAGGACCCACAACTTCTGAAAGCAAGTAATTCTATTGATTAATTGTTCTAACTGTCAGAAAATTCCTCCTCAGTTCTAGGTTGCTTCTCTCCTTGATTGGTTTCCATCCATTGCTTCTTGTCCTGCCTTTAGGTGCTTTGCAGAATAGATTGACACACACACACACACACACACACACACCCCTCTTCTTTGTGGCAGCCCCTTCGATATTGGAACACCACTGTCATGTCACCCTAATCATGTCACCTTCTATCATGCCACCGCTATCCAGTGGTGTGATTCAAATAGGTGAACAACCAGTTCTCTGTGTGGATGCTGCTTCCGGAAGTCCGTTCTGAGCCTGGGCAACAAAAAGTTAGCTTCCGGTTCTGCCAAAGTGGTGCCAACTGGCTGAATCCCACCGCTGCCGCTATCATATCAGTGACAGAGTTTTCTAAAAGCTGAAAAGAACAGGACCAAATCTGATAGTGAAGGAGAAGCTGGCCAAAATATAACCCAGTTTCAAAACGAGCAAGTGGGCAGGAGGGGGCTATGGAAAAAAAAAATCTGAAAAATTCTCCTAGTGCATCTCTATGGGTAGAATAATAAGCGAGTGGCTTAGACTGCCGGAGACTGCCAGGCCTCTCCCATCCAAGCTGGATTGGTACAGTCCAGAGAAATCCCTTCCAGATTTCTCCAGAAACTTCTATTCCTAGAATGATAGGTTTGCCAATAAAATTCCTTCCCAGCCATTTATTCATTTTGCAGAGGACTACAGAGATTTAAAACATCTGTTTAGCCTTGGGTATACGAGGGATAGATAGAAAAATGCTCTCAGCTTTCTAAATTCTGTTATGATAGTCTGTATCAAAAGAGTAGAATTCCAGTTTGTCTGTTTTTTGATGGCTTCTTTTGACCTCATCTATCTGACGCATTTCCGCCTTTCACTAAAATAAAATCACAAGGTAGCAGAAACTATCCTGAGAAATGCTAAGGAAGAGATGGAAGCAATTCTGGATCCTTAAATAGACAGAAATAAAACTTCGGATGAACATCAGTACAAAAACGTTCTTCTAATTCTTGATCTCCTAAACAAAGCTAACAGGTTGGGGAGCAATGAGACCCTCACCCTAACCCTAACCCAACTCTGATTCCAGGAAACAGCCAGACAGACCGGAGGATGGGGATAGAAATTAAATGAGTCCTTCCTCTCATTTTAGATGCATAAGACATTGTCCTCAACAACAGACCTGAGCTATAATCCAACTTGCATAGTGAATGAAGTATCCTTTACTTAAATTATTTACCGATTTATATACCCTATGAAAATTAAACATGCTTTATCTTACCCTGCAAAGAGTAGCTCAAGCATTGCATATTTATGCTCTCATTAAAATTTAAATGAGAATCTATTAAAATGGGAGCCTGCTTATCAACAGCATGCGGGTCAGATTCTCAAGTAACCATATTTTCACAAGTGCCGGGCTTGGCTGCCTAAGTCTAGGACTATTGGCATCTAGCAACCTTCCCCTTTGTGCTCCCTACTGTGGGGTCCTTGGTGCTCTCTGAGCCTGCAGACGTTTTTTTACCCAACTACGCCATATCATCAGAAAGCACCAAGAACACCACAGTTCAATCCTCAAGCCTTAGCTAATGGGTTGACTTATTCAGTGGTGTGTTTGCTTGTTTTCTTGGCTGTCCATGATTTTCTCAGGACAAAGTTGACAAGCATCACTCATCTTCCTATCTTCCTATCCTGCTTCTTCAGAGTTCAGTAAGCCTGTGGCACAAGCCTTATTCTTTTCTTTCTTTTCCTTTCCTTTCTTTTCCTTTTCTTTCCCTCTCTCTCTCTCTCTCTCTCTCTCTCTCTCTCTCTCTCTCTCTCTCTCACTGGAAAGCTCTAAGTGACATTTTAGGTAGCTGGAGAAAAATAAAGCAATGCCTTCCAGATCACAATCTAATCTCAAACTCCCAACCATGGTAGTTTGAACCAAAATAAAACCAAGGTAAACTAAGCCCCTTTCTGAGGACTGCTTCTTAGCCACCTTAAAATGTCACACAAAGGTAAGGAAGCAAATTGTGGTGCCCTTGTGCTATAAATCCTTCCTCAGCCAGCAAAGAATATTCCAGCCTCCCAATCGTCTGAAACAGAGTTCGTTTTATTCCGCAGAGCTTCTGGGACACCTTATCCTAAGACTGAGCGTCAGGCTTTCCTTCTCTCTGACAGCTGCTAACACAGCCACTTGCTATGAAAATGCTTGCAAACGCAATTTCCCTGGTAATGCAATATTTAAGCTGGGAAGAAATGGCTCCCTGCAATTTCTCACGGATTGTCCAATTTTAACAATACCCTCGTAAGCTAATAATGTTTACATGTGTGGAGAGAGAGAGAGATTGAGAAAGAGAGAGCGGAGATAGTTAAATGATAATATATTTCCAGACCTGACAGAAAACTGTTCTGTATTGTCTTCCAGAAGTGGTTGTGCCCTGAAGCAGCAAAAAAAATTGACAGTGCAAATTATTAAAAGTACGACAGTTCCAGGATCTTCCCCTCTCTTTCCTTTCCAAAGGCGGCAACATACGTGAGAACTTTCATTCTACCATCTAATTCAAGAAATTATCATTTACTACTGTCACTGAAGAGGCTCTGGAAAACTGGTTGAAAATTCTTTACAATGCATTAGGAGAGCCTGTCCAAAAATTGCCACCTATTTAAGATGCTGACAAAACTTACTGCAACCCTTTAGAATAGGGGTTGGCAACTATGGCCCCTTTACAAACTGTGGACTTCAACTCCCAGCATGGGACCCTAGTTGCTCACCCCTGGTTCAGGAGAAAAGATCTGGAGTGTCTTAAGGCACCACGGCATCATAACTGCACCAAAAGAGAGACTCTTAAAGATTGCAACCAAATCTTTCTAGAAAGAGTGCAGAGAAGAGCAACAAAGATGATCAGGGGACTGGAGACTAAAACATATAAGGAACGGTTGCTGGAATTGGGTATGTCTAGTATAATGAAGAGAAGGACGAGGGGGGACATGATAGCAGTGTTCCAGTATCTCAGGGGCTGCCCCAAAGAAGAGGGAGTCAAGCTGTTCTCCAAAGTGCCTGAAGGCAGGATGAGAAGCAAAGGATGGAAACTCATCAAAGAGAGAAGCAACCTAGAACTAAGGAGAAACTTCCTGACAGTGAGAACAATTAACCAGTGGAACCACCTGCCTCCAGAAGTGGTGAATGCTCCAACCCTGGAGGTTTTTAAGAAGCGACTGGACAGCTATTTGTCTGAAATGTTATAGGGTTTCCTGCCTGAGCAGGGGGTTGGACTAGAAGACCCTTCCAACTCTGTTATTCTATTTTGTATCAAATATTGTATATATTTATAGTAGGAATGCTGCAGACTTTTGATCTGGAAATTCAGTCCCGAAGGAATTCCATCAAGCTGATCAATCAGATTGGCATGCTATGTCAAAACAACCGGCTCAGAGGGCTGATTTCCTTCAGGTGCGTTCCTGTTGATTTTGGGTGATGGCGTGGAGAAACAAAAATGGCTTCTCGCACACCGATCCAGAAAGCTGACTCAGACAGATTCACCAATTTGATCTGAACTTCCCAATCAAATGAAATCGATTTCCAAAATCAAAGTGAATTCACTTCTAAACCAAGTCAACAATTCCGTGGTAACGACAGACTGGGTGGGACTAAAAAGTTCAATCGATCAATTCCAACTTTGCAAGATTTTTTTTTTCCGCGAGAAGTTGAAATTGATTGATTGATTGAACCTTTTTTTTTTTTTTTGCACACGGCGGCGGAGACCTAAAGCGAAAAGGTTTAATAAAACCCAGCTGAAGGCCTAGGACTGGGGTGATGGCGCACATGCCCACAGAGAGGGCTCTGAGTGCCAGCTCTGGCACCTGTGCCATAGGTTCACCACCACTGTCCCAGAGGGAAGAAATATAGATAAAAATTATGACAGTAGGGAGAATAGTGGGATGTGTTGGGAAGGGTAAGTCAAACCTTGTTTAGAGGTTTTCAGATTCACCTTTCTTGTCTGACTCCTTTGATGCATTTACAATTGAAGGGAGTAGATGCCACCTCCAGGTTTGATGGTTGGGGGTTGTCAGTTGCTGAGGTCTAACTTAACAAGATCCTCCTTATAGTTCAAATATACAGGTAGTCTTCGCCTTACAACAGTTCATCTAGTGACTGTTCAAAAGTACAACAGCGCTGAAAAAAGCGACGGATGGCCTTTTTTTCACACTTAGGAGCATTGCGACATCCCCATGGTCATGTGATCAAAATTCAGATGCTTGGCAACTGGCATGTACTTATGACGGTTGCAGGGTCCCCTTTTGCGACCTTCTGAGAAGCAAAGTCAATGGCGAAGCCCGATTCACTTATTAACTTAACAACTGCAGTGATTCATTTAACAACGGTGGCAAGAAAGGATTGCTGAACGGGGCAAAATTCACTTAACAAATGTCTCCCTTAACCAGAAAAGTTTTGAGCTCGAAGGTGGTCGTAAGTCAAGGACTACCTAAGAGGAAAGAAATCAGCTAGGGGGAAAAAGGGGGTATTCTTACCTCGTTCAGTGTCATAGAGATATACGAATTTTTCCCAGTTATAGTAGGTCAGAAGGCTTAGGATGGCCCCTTTCAGAGCCGGCCGCATCTGGATGACGAACTGCACCTCAGCATCGGTTGGAAAGCTGGGCGTGATGAAGGACGTGTGCAGTGCCCCACAAAAGGACGTCAGCGTGTTCATTGACATCTGGTCATAGAATCCAAAGATGGCATAGACTCCTCTGGAGAACTGGGAACAGACTAGGAAGAGCAGAAGAACAAAGTAATTAGCATAGAGGGATGTCCAGGAGGAAGGATTCCAACACTTTGGAAATAGTGGATCCCCTAAAGTCTGGATCCCTTCATCTCCACTGAAGATGTTACCTAGCCTGGTAAAATGAAACATTTGGAAACCAACCCATAGGCTCGGAGAACGAATCTTCGCCCTCATCTTACAGCCGAGCTGCAGATATTCACCACTATGGCAAACTTTGGAAATAGCAATAGCACTTGGACTTCTATACCACCCCATAGTGCTTCACAGCCATCACTAAGTGGGTTACAGAGTCAGCACATTGTCCCCAACAATCTGGGTCCTTATTTTACCAACTTCGGAAGTACAGAAGGCTGAGTTAACCAGTCGGAATCACTGGCACTTAGCAGAGTTATGGAAGGAAGGAAGGAAGGAAGGAAGGAAGGAAGGAAGGAAGGAAGGAAGGAAGGAAGGGAGGGAGGGAGGGAGGGAGGGAGGGAGGGAGGGAGGGAGGGAGGGTAACAGCAATACCACTTAGACTTATATACCACTTCATATTACTACACAGCCCTCTCTAAGCGGTTTAGAGTCAGCCTCTTGCCCCCAACAATCTGGATCCTCATTTTACCAATCTTGGAAGGATGGAAGGCTGAGTCAATCTTGAGCCAGTCAAGATCAATCTCCTGGCAGTGGGCAGAGTCAGACTGCAATACTGCATTCTAACCACAGCTCTTGTAGAAACAGGAGATTGCAATTCTGCTGACTTAAAAGTCTTTGATGAACAGCTGATGAGCTAGGATTAGGTGAGGACATAATAGCAGTCTTCCAGTACTTGAGGAGCTGCCAGAAAGAAGAGGGGGTCAACCTACTCTCCAAAGCACCAGAAGGCAGGACATGCATTTTCCAAAACCAAGTCCAGTTGCCCTTTGAAAAAGCACCTTTGGGACAAAGTAATTGGTCTTGCTTTTCAGCCACTAATACAAACAACTCCTGTGGACTAGATACCCTCTTATTTCAGGCATCTAAAGGCCTTTCTCCCCTTCCTTTGTGGAGTTCAGAAAAAGTAAAGACAGTAGGGTGATGATTGTGTTAATAGATCCTTGCTTCTGTGTGAAGTACGGCTGCAGACAGAATAAGCAGCTCATAAATGGGTTGTTAAATAAGCAATTTTAACAAGTCAAGATGAAGCAAGCAGTCATAAAATTTCTTTAGAAGAAGCCCCAGCCCCATCAGCCTTATTTTCTTAATAATTAGGGCTCCTTAGAAACGCTTTCCAATTTTACGCACTTACATTGAGTACTTATTTCGGGGCGGGGGGCTTAATATATATATTTTAAAACCCACATAAAATAAAGACACTAATCACGTTTATTGTTGCCTCTTCCAGTGCAGTATGTGAAAGGACCCTCCTTTTGATAAGACAGGGAAGGGCGGTCAAGCCTTAGACTGTGAGAAATTCTCTCTCTATTGTAACAGTTGCTTGCAGTCTTGAGTGTGAATGTCGAAACTGTGTTCCAGAAGGCCGAAAGCACCCAAGGTCACCGGTTTTGCTCCAACCGGTCTCACGTGCAAAGGCTGAGGCCCTTTTGGGAGACGACAGACATCTCCTGCAATGGTGACCTTGTCCCCTGAAAACCTCCTGAGATCCCTCATGAGAACATCCAAAGCTCGCCACATTGGATGATCTTGTGCGGGTTTCTCCCATTGTGTCTAAAAAGCCTCTGATTGATGACATGGTGGGGAAGGTTTCACAAATACACCCAAGAGTCTCACAAGCCCCAGGAGGCCAACCTATCCCAACGCCACCACATTAGGGAAGCGAAGGACACTGTTGTCAAAACATGCCTAAAAGATCAATCAATAAACAGCCCAATCTAGCAAATTCTTTCCGTGAGAGAGATGTTTGGGCCTATCTGTACAGGCAGCCCACAACTGGCAGCAGACGGTGGCTTCATTTGACCCACGTTGTTTGTTTGTTTGTTCCCTGGGATTCGTTGTTTGTTTCCTTTGCTGGTAGTAAGCCACCTCAAGGACCACTGCAGCAAACCAACAAACGGAATCTGGGAACGGTATTAAAAAAAAAAAACAGGCATAACCTGTGTGTGTGTGTGTGTGTGTGTGTGTGTGTGTGTGTGTGTGTGTGTGTGTGTTTCCCTCTCTCTCTCTCTCTCTCTCTCTCTCTCTCTCTCTCTCTCTCTCTCTCTCTCTCTCTCTCTCTGCATTCTCTCTGCATTTTGTCAGCCACTAAGCATATCTCATTGATTCCCAAAGTCTCAGAAAGAGGATGGGCAGACAATTAAAAAAGAAGAGGGGAGAAAGAAGGGTAGGAAACTGTACAAGGAAGAATGGCTTTGCTAAAACACAAAGCTGGGTCAAGTTGTTACAATTAAAGCTTCTGAGCTGCAGGGGGGGGGGAAACCCCGAGAATATCATATTTGCTGCAGATATGTTTAGTCTGGTTTGTGTTAAATTTTTAATGATTATCTTTATTCCAATATATGCATGATTTTAGAAGTTGCTTAGAGCTTTGTTACGTCGAGCAATATATAAATTATAATACAGGCAGTTCTCAACTTACAACTGCAATTGAGCCCAACGTTTCTGAATAGAATAGAATAGAATAGAATAGAATAGAATAGAATAGAATAGAATAGAATAGAATAGAATGCAGAATGGAATGCAGAATGGAATAGAATAGAATAGAATAGAATAGAATAGAATAGAATAGAATAGAATAGAATAGAATAGAATAGAATAGAATAGAATGCAGAATGGAATGCAGAATGGAATAGAATAGAATAGAATAGAATAGAATAGAATAGAATAGAATAGAATAGAATAGAATAGAATAGAATAGAATAGAATAGAATAGAATAGAATAGAATGCAGAATGGAATGGAGTAGAGTAGAGTAGAGTGGAGTGGAGTGGAATGGAATGGAATAGAGTGGAGTAGAGTAGAGTAGGGTAGAGTAGAGTAGAGTAGAGTAGAGTAGAGTAGAGTAGAGTAGAGTAGAGTAGAGTAGAGTAGAGTAGTTGGAAGGGACCTTGGAGCTCATCTAGTCCAACCCCCTGCTCAAGCAGGAATCCCTATACCATTTCAGACAAGTGGCTGTCCAGTCTCTTCTTAAAAACTTTTAGTGTTGGAGCATTCACAACTTCTGGAGGCAAGTTGTTTCACTGATTAATTGTTCTAACTGTCAGGAAATGGTATAGAGTCTCCTGCTTGAGCAAGAGATGGGACTAGAAGACCTCCAAGGTCCCTTCCAGCTCCATTCTTATCGAATCATAGTTTGAATCAATGCTTCAACTAGCAAGCCGCTAAGTCCTTTATAGCACAGAGAGAAGGAAGGAAAGAAAAAGGAAATCAATTAGTAATGTCAGATACCTGGTAGACAGGGGTGTAATGTAGCAATTTTAGTTTATTTCTATTAACAGGAAACGTTGATGCAACATCCTGTGTTGCATTCGGGGATCTATTTCAAGATAGCTCTTGGAAGAAAGCAAAGCCGTAGGGAGTTATTGTTGAATTTTCAAACGATACAGCAAGATTCCATCAAACTCCCAAAGCATCTTTGCTGAAAGCTTTCCTGGCAGATATATAGTTATTACATCTTCTCGGGGCCTCCAAAGGAAATTAATCAAGTGCATTCAATCTTAATCAGTAGCTGGGTTAAGATTGAATGCACTGCAATCTTGGTCATGAGTTCTAATCTGGAAGGCTAACTATGCTTTTCACGATGACTTTTACAGCAGTGGATTGCTCTTAATAAAGCGAGAATTTGGGTTTGGTTTTTTTTTTTCCTTCCTTCAGATCTCCTCATAACGTAAGGGGAAAAAGTGAAGATTGTGTTCCCACCATTACTGGTTAACTGTAGGTTTCCCCCCCCCCCTATTCAGGTTGGAAACTCCCCCAAGGCTAATTAAATACAAACATTTCCGTTTTGTGACACTTAAGGATAACCATGTTTGGAGACAATTCTGAATTCCTGGTAACATCGGTCCAATAGCATCAGTCTTAGTTTTTGTGCTCCCTTTAGGCTCCGATCTTCCACTGCTTTGGGAGAAATAAGCCTATCGCTACGATTTCAACTCAGCAAAGTGCTAAAAGTAGAATTTGGAGAGACAGTAAAACAAAAAAACGAAAAAAGAATTGCGAAAGTTATAAGCAGAGCCGATTAGCAGCCCGGCCAATTTTCTTTTCAATGTCTGGTTAGCTTGCCTGAATAGCATGCATTCCAGGCATTATAGTTATTCTTTTCTTTAAAAAATGAATTTTGCAAGATTGAATAGCCCATCCTTTAATTTGGAACGCTGTCAAAGAAGAGAGGTTTTCATCAAAAGAGCCCTGGGGGCAGAGAAATCCCCCAACACACATACACAAAAGTAAAGCCTGGGGTTTAATCCCCAAGGTTCTTTTTCTAGGGGCAATTGGACTTTCTTTGTTTTTTCCTTGAAGTTCTGGACTGAAGAAACTTCTTAGATGAGAAGAGAAATGTTTTCAAGGATAAAAAAAACAAACAAGAAAGTCTAGTTCCCTTTTTGGAAAAAGCACTTTTGGGACAATCATGAACTGGATGACTGAGAATCTCCACAGTCACCTGGGGTTTAATGGATCTCAGTTTAGCTGACTGTATACATATTTCTCCAAATATAAACCCAAAATAATGGGCAAAATCCATTATAGTCAAAGTAGTCTGGGTGAGGCCTTTGAACTCTGGTGCTGGAGAAGACTCCTGCGAGTCCCCTGGACTGCAAGGCGATCCAACCGGTCAGTCCTAGAGGAGATCAACCCCGACTGCTCTTTAGAAGGCCAGATCCTGAAGTTGAAACTCAAGTACTTTGGCCACCTAATGAGAAGGAAGGACTCACTGGAGAAGAGCCTGATGCTGGGGAAGATGGAGGGCAATAGAAGAAGGGGACGACAGAGAACGAGATGGCTGGATGGAGTCTCTGAAGCAGTAGGTGTGAGCTTAAATGGACTCCAGAAGATGGTAGAGGACAGGAAGG